CTCCTTGGCAGGAAGCTGACATTGCAGTGGCTCCACTGACTGTTACCTCAGCCAGGGAAGAGGTGGTGTCCTTCACCACACCCTTCCTGCAGACTGGGATTGGGATCTTGCTCCGCAAGGACACGGCCTCCCAGGACATGTCTTTCTTCCACTTCCTGTCTCCTTTCAGCAAGGAGACCTGGACAGCCCTTTTATTTGCTTACCTGCTCACATGCTTCTGCCTCTTTCTTGTTGCCAGGTACAAGATTTGTTTCACAGTTTGTATTCATGTCAGTGGCTTTCTCACCTATGAAAAGATTAGAAAGTCCCAGAGAGCCTTTTGCTTTGAGGAGCCTCCTGTACAGCTCTAGTACAATGGCTAAGAAAGCTAAAACCCTGTCAGATTAAGCCAGAATTACGAGTGGGAACTCCTCATGAGGAATACCAGATTTCTTGATGGGGATTATTTTTATTTTTTCGCTCTCAGTGTCTGGTTTTATCCTGTCATTTTCCCACAGACTGAGCCCCTGTGAATGGAATGAGCCAAAGAATGAAGAGAACCACTTCACCTTTCTGAACAGCCTCTGGTTTGGAGCAGGAGCACTGGCCCTGCAAGGTGAGCTGGGAGGATGCGCCCAAGCAGCTCTGGGAGCAGCGGGGTTTTTATGATGATGGTGCACCCAGCTCCTTCCATGACACTGGGGTGAAAAGGTATCTTAGCAGGGACACTTGGAGCACTGAACCAGTTTGGGGAGGTGTGAGACCTACTGGGGTTGTACAGGTAATTGCATCTGGCTGGAGAATATTTTCTGCTCTGGGTAACCTTTGCTCTGGGCAATTCCCAGCTGAGTATGGCATGGCTGCTTTGTACAGAGGAGTTTGTGGAGCTCTGGGCCACTGCTGCTGCTCCAGCCCTTCACTTCAGCCTTGGTGCTGCTCAGACCAGCACAGTGGGGCCTTCCAGGTTCAGGCTCTGTGTAGCTGCAGATCATGGTCTGCAGTTTGCCTTTCTTTCAAGGGAAGTCTCTGTAACTCAGGCTGGTAGATCTGCAGTTCTTGGTGTGTCTCTGGCCCCATGTCCCCTCCTGTGTGATTTATGGTGAGTTCTTGGTTCCCTGTGGTGCAGGTGCCAGCCCCCGGCCCCAGGCACTCTCAGTGAGGGTCATTGCTGTGGTCTGGTGGCTCTTCACCCTGGCCCTGCTGGCTGCCTACATCGCCAACTTCACGGCCCTGCTGAGCTCTGGCAGTGAGCAGCTCCCCATCCAGACCTTTGAGGACCTGGTCAAGCAAAGGAATCTGGAGTTTGGGACGCTGGAGGGCTCCTCGACTTTCTACTACTTCAAGGTGCAGAGAATCTCATGGTGCCCATACACAGGGGCTATAGGACTGCTGAGCTGGGCCTGAGTCACACAGCTGAGACTTTATAACCCCTACAACACCCTCATCACTGTTGACTCTCTCAGTTTTACTGTAATACTTCAAATAATACAATTACTGTTCTGTTCAGCCCTTCTTCCACACCTCTTCTCACAGGAAAGCAGGCACAGAACTCTTATTCTGTATTCTCCTTTAAAAATATCTCTACTGGGCCTGCCCTTGTTTAGCTGGGGCAGCAGGTGCCATCTATGACACTTATATGCTTGTGTGACGCTCGTCCCCAGTGTTGGCAACAATCTGTGCTTGCAGGAGTTCACACATGCTATAAGTGCTCTCCTTCTCCAAATTATTTTACAACCCTTGTGCATACAGGCAGATTTTTAATTATTTGGTGGTTGTCTCACACTTGAGTTTGACACTTGGATTTTTGGGCTGCAGAACTCCAAGAACCCCATCCACCAGATGATCTATGAGTACATGGAGAAGAGGCGGGAGCACGTCCTGGTCAAGACCTACCAGGAGGCTGTGCAGCGTGTGATGGATTCCAACTATGCCTTCATTGGCGAGTCCATCTCACAGGACCTGGCGGCTGCCCGGCACTGTAATCTCATCAGGGCCCCTGAGGTCATCGGGGCCCGTGGCTTCGGCATTGCCACCACCCAGGGTGAGTCTGTGCCCCTCCGCTGCCCCACTCCTCCCTGGGATGGCAGGGGGCTGCAGGAGGAGGGACAGCAACAGGCCAGAGCCAATGCCAGTGTTGAGGGTGACCAGAGTGAAAATGCTGCACGGCAGGGTCACTGCTCTGTGGGGAATTAATCATGGCACTCACTGGTTCTCACTTTGAACTCCAGTCCACAAATATTCCATCTCCAAGGGTGTCCTCGGCCCCAGGAATGCAGATCCCCTAACGCAATGAGCAGAGGACAGTCTGCTCCTGTTTTTCCCAAAGCACCTTTGCTCTGCCCTTATCTCACAGGTGTTACTATCCCTCTGTGGTCAGGGCAGGATGACTGTTAGCCAGGAAAAGCCTTTGGCTAGGGTGTTGTGGTCAGTTGATACCTCTGACCCCACACCCATTAACCATGTTTAACTAAACCATATCTGGGAGCTCTCCCATCCTCCTGTCTCTCCCTGTCCCACTGCCCAGCATCCCCCTGGACCAAGCCTCTCTCCATTGCCGTGCTCAAGCTGCGTGAATCGGGTGACCTGGACTACCTGCGGAACAAGTGGTGGGAGAGCAGCTGCCTGCGCCAGAGCCGCGACCGCTGGGGGCCCCTGGAGCCACCAGCGCTGGGGGGGCTCTTCCTCACCCTGGGCATTGGCCTCGCCCTCGGTATCCTCGCTGCCCTGGCTGAGCTCTCCAGCAGCAGCCGCCGCACAGCTGCACACACCAAGGTGAGCCCTGGCTCCTGCACCAAGCCCCATCCTGCCTCCCTGTGTCCCTCCTTTGGCCAAGGTGAGCCCTGCACCTTGTCCTGCCTCCCGCTGTCCCTCCTGCACCAGCCAGGCCCTAGCATTTCCACACTGACCTTGGTTCTCTAAGGAAAGCCATACAGTGAGGAAGGGGTGAGGGGAAGCTGTGCAGTTACTCCTCAAAGTGCCAGAATTTCACAGCCTTGGCTGTGGGATGGGTCTGTAGCCTGAACAGCATAAATATAATAAAAATAAAATAACCCCCTAGCACCCCTTCCTCCCCCCATCTCCTTAAATGCCAAGGCAACCAAACTGCATTCCACTACCCTGAGTTTTAGAGAAGACAGCAAATAAATCCACAACAAGTTTATTCTCAGTGGTCGCTGTTCTTTAGTTGTTAGACAAGGAAAACACACAGAGTGAAACTGCACCAGTGTCTGAGTGTGGCCTTTGGTGCTCCTGCTCTCCAGCCCTCCCTGGAAAATACAGATTCACAGAACAACCCACCCACAGCCTTCTCTCCCCCTTTCTCTTTCAGAAATCTTGTTGCTCTGTGTTCACAGAAGAAATCTGCACTCGTCTACGCATAAAAGGAACCTCCAGACAAAGCCAGGAGACATCAGGGAAGGCAAACGCTTAAGGATGTTTTGCTGCAGGAATGGGCCCGTGTTAGGGTTGTACCACATCTTAGGAGCTGTATCTCAGTGTAGGAAGGTGTTTTTCTGCTAGCCTAGAGTGTTAGTTTGCTAATTACATACACACATAGCACTTCTGGAGTGGTGGTGGAGCTGCAGACACAAGGAAATTAAGTGGCTTGGAAGAATTTAGATTGATGAGGGGTAAAGTGGAACTGTGACAAATTGATAATCTGGGGCTGAGCTGGCCAGGATGGTAGATCCATGTTTAGGTTTGAAGTTCACCCTGTAAGTCCATGAAAGCCTGTAGGAGGAAGTGACTGGGGACAGGTTAATGTAAAGCCTCTGCTACTAATTCCTGTGTGAGGAACAGTCATGATGCATGAACATAAAGGTCTCATCTGTCTGTTGTAATCAGGAACAGCAGCTTAAGCACTGCACTATAAATAGCCTCACCCAGCTGCCTGAGCTGGTGCTGGTCCCTGGGAAGGCAATTCCTGAATCAGAACTTACAGTGCTGCTGTGTAACCCCAAGCAGGCCTTTCCTACACCCCAAACCCCAGAAAGGGAGCCCCTGCCACCAAGGAACCAGTGGAGCTAAGAAATGACAGGCAGGGCTTGTCCTTTGTCCCTTTCCATCACAGGATAAGGGCCACTGTTAGGTGACACAATGTTTTGTTCTTGTTGTCCAAGAATTGAGGAGCGACAGTGGAAATCCATGAGTACCAGAGCAGGAAGGGATTATGGGGATGAGTCAAACACAGCACAGCCCAAGCTCCCCTGCAAGGAGATATGTAGGGTGTTTTGTATCACTCTCCTGCTCTCAAAGAATTCTGAAGTTCAGGGGAACAGGTTTCGCAGCTGCATGTTAAACACTTTCCTCATTAAACTGTTTTTCAGCACTGGGATGACTGAGGCATGTAAGTGTTAGGGCAAATTGGTGGTGAAATCACTCAATTTATGAACTGCACAGCTGAAGGAGGGAAAAAGCAAATTGGGTTCCTTGGGAATGGCTGTAATTGCACTGCAGGAACAGACACTGATCCTTGTCAGTCCCAGCAGGAGAACTGAAGGCAGTAGAAAGCAAGGGGGCTGGGAAGTTACAGGTGATCCTGACTCCATCACTGCATATTCTCTGTGAGGGGAACTTAGTAAGACTCAGCTTCCAGCTGCTGTGAAGGAATTCAGTGTACCTGCAGGACTCCCTCCCGTGTCCCTCCTGCTAATAGGAATAAACAAGTGTTGGGAAACTAGGGCTGCTCCTTAACTCAGATCAACAGCCCTTACTCAGTCACAGCCTGAGCAACATTTGTGGGGTGAGAAAGTAGATCAACCCTTTGATCAGCTGAGCTGCACAGAGCAGGAGAGATTTAGGCAACTCTAACAGCTGAAAATGCAACATCAGGTTCACTTAGCAGTTAGAAGCTATTTGGTAAATGCTGTCACTGCTGGCAGAGTAGGCAGAGATGTATAAAAAAGGTTTCATTGACATTTAAATATATTTCTATATGAATGTCTCACAGAACAAAAAAATAAAGTCTTTTCATCACAAATACTGCAGCATTAAAATAAACACTTACCAAAATAAACAATGAGTGATATACATATATATATTTGAGTGTGTAGACTATAGAGTGAATCATATTGTTGCTTTTTAAGTCACAAAAGCACAATATAAATACGGAATTTCCTGTGAACTCTTGTCCCTGTTGTAATAAAAATACATTCTTTACAGTTGAAGTAAAACTAGTGCAAGTCCATCGGCTGTGCCAGCTTCATCATTTACAGGGCACTTCGTACTTGAAGATGACGCTGAAGATTTTGCCCCCGAGGCGGTCGGCAAGCCATGAGTTCTTGATGACAGCAAGCTTGAGGCTCTCACACCTGAGCACGGCGTAGTAGTTGGTGTGGATGGCCCTGCCCATGCCCTCGATGACCACCAGGTCAGTCTGCCGCTCCCGCACCAGCATGGCCAGGCCCTGGTCCAGGCGGCTGCAACACAGCGCGGTCAGAGCAGCCACACCTCGGCCCCATTTCAGTCACACCTTGGCCCCACATGCAGCTGCACCCCAGAGCCGCCCCAAGCTGCCCGCTGGGATTCTGCATGGAGTTACTGGTGCCCACAAACAGCGGCACCTGAAAGCCAAGGGGATCAACTGAAATGTTTAAAAAGACCCAGCTTAGGATTTTGACACAAATGGAACTGATCAGAAGGAAATCAGTTAAATAAGGTGAAATGAGGCTTCAATCCCAGGGGGTTTTGGCCACCTGCAGGATCTGACATCAGCCATAACCGAACCTGCTCCTGACCCAGCTGTGTCCTGAACACAAAAGGCCACAAAAAAAGGCCAAAAGCTATAAGACCTGAGCAGTGTCACAGGTCTATAAATCCACACTAAGCACGTCCTAATGGGACTGCAGAAGCAATTCCCAGTGTGAAGGGTGGCTGGGATGCTCCACAGCCAAACCTTTGGCCATCCTGCAGCTGTGGGACACAAACCACACAGTGGCACCTTGCCTACATACCTCAGATCCAGACATGGAGAACTGGAGCCCGTCTGAACCAACAGCAGCTTCTCATCCCTCAGTGCAGAGCTGTTTAAAAAGACAAATATTTAACAGCTGCTTCAGCAGGGCCTAGCACATCTGGGAATAAGCCAGAGAAGCAGAAATATTGAAGCCTCTTCTGCAAAGGCTTCCTTTGCTGCAGAGACTTCACCAGGAAACACAATGTTTCCTTGAGCACAAGGATTACTCAGTCAGCCCTGCATCCTCTCCTGGGGACACTGTTATGTATGACATACATGGATTTCTCTCTATTAACATAGAAAATTCCTGGTAGAGCACCTGGAGTGCCTGTCAGGGAAAACACAAGACATGTAACTATAGGTGTGCCAGAAAGACACAATTTCAAAGTTTATCTCTTCAATGAAAGCAAACGCTCTGAACCTTGGGCTGAGGCTGCAGATTACAGATGCTACTGAACAGTGTAATGCAAACCCAGGTTGTGCCCAGGATCTGCTTTCTCCAGGGAGGTGTAACAGACATGGTGCTTACTGAATCACGGGGTCCATGGCTGCGATGCGTTCCGTCACGATCAGGGACTCGCTGTAGGTGACGTCATTGAGGGCAGGGCCAGAGTTACAGGCCAAAATCACCTGGAAGGAAGGTGCCAGGAGAGGTCACACAGGCTCTGGCATTTCAGGTGCTTGGATTATTTCCAGTTTGGCAAAGGAGTGTCCTGCTGGTGGGCAGTGACACCTTCCAGCAGTTACCAAAAGTCCATAGGAACTCGTAAGGAAAGCCACTCACCTCTGTCCCTCTAGAAAGGAGCTCTCGGACAAAAGGAAAGACTCCTAAAATTATGTCTATCCCACTGTTATCTGCGAAAATTAAGGCACATTTATGAGGGGGACCCTCCTGCAAGAGAAAACCAATGCATTCAGGATGGAGTGCCACTCACCACAGGGAAGTTTGTTATTCACAGCTACTCCTCCAAATCCCCACATTTTATACCCTCGAACACCTGAGGTCTGGATTGCAGCAAACTCCCAGCACACACCAGTGACAAACAGGAGGAATGGGGCTCCCTGATGGTGTCTTTGCACAGGGGTTTAAAACAGCTGTGCTATGTTTGAGAGAGGGCTCTCAAACTGCAGCAATAAAACCTCCACATGCCAACTCAAGCCAGGCCAGAGTCAGGCTGTGATCCTGAACACGCTGGGTGCCAGCTGGACCTACCTTGGAGGGTGTGTTTTAAACTAGCCTGGTGCTGGCTGAACAGGATTCCCTTCTGCCAGAAAAGGGCAGGATGGACTGTGGGGGCAGTGACAACCTAAAATGAAAACATAGTGCCTAACCTCCATTAACCTCTTCATTGTTCTCAGCCTGGTGTTATGAAACTTCGTTCACCCCAGTTCATATCAGCAGAACTGAAAAATACTTAATTCCTAATAAAAACTGTCAGGACAGTGCCTATATCTCCCCAATTATCCCTGTTACACAAGATTAGCTGGTGCTTTGCTTTAGGATGGAGCATGTAAGGATTTGCTATAGTCTGCTCATCCCCAACCTTTAGGCTGCCATTTCCAATAGAGAGATTTACACAGACACAAAAGCTTTTTAATTAATCTTAATTAAATGGTAAGAGATCACATGGGGGGAAAAAAAAAAGAAAAAAAAAAAAAGCTTTACTAATTGATAAATTCATTACTTCCAGCAAGCTTCTACATTAATGCCAGTTTTAGGTTGGCTACCCAGGTGGAGGAACAACTCAAACACTACCTTTGGCCCCAGGTTTTTAAATTCAGGGGTCTGGGTGTATGGAAGTAAGAGCCCTGATAAGGAGGGGAGGCTCTGGAGCAGCTGGGCTCCAGTAGGAATTCAGGGAAGGAACTATGTTTTAGACTAATTCCTTTACTCCTTGCTTTATGATGAATTTTTGGGCTGTCTGTTCAAACTACATGATTACCAAGATGATTTGATGATTAAGGTGTTTAATTAGCAGCTTTAGGGCCAACCAGGGTCATACCTTCAGTCGCTCCAGCCACTGGCTGTAGGAATCTTCCAACCAGGGACGTTCTATGGCACAGACAGAACAGTGTCAGCATTTATCAGCAGCCACTAACTCTTATCAGCAGTCATTCTGCACATGGTACAAGCAGGAGGTTCATGCTGCACTTCCTGAAGCATTGAAGCATTTGAGCTCAGGTTTGGAATGTTAAATGTGTAGGTTCACAGAGTTCCTGAGCTCTCTGTTATGGGAATGTCTCCATGAGAGTAGGCCTGAAGTGGAATTTTCACACTAAAGCTTTGGAGTGGTGGGAGTTGGGCCCTGGCCTGGGGGTGCTGGACCCCCCCAGGACACTGTTCCCTGGGAGGGACACAACAGTGAGCGACCGGTGTTTAAGGAGAGAGAGGTTTAATTCCTTTGCAGATTTAATTCCTTTGGAGCACTACCCAAACTCTGGGTCTGCATTTAGATAACTCTAACAAGTCCTAATGATTCTTTGTCATGTGGGCAGCAGAACCCCCACAAACATTCCCACTCCACTCCCTCAGTAACATTCAGCTCCAACCACCAGCATGGATCTCCCCTTACCTTGGAGCTTTGACTTGGCTTCTTCAAACCCAAACTGTGGCTCAGACTCCAGAACACTGGAACAGGAGAGAACCAGACGGCACGCAGTTCAACACCTCCATCTTACATCAGTGGAATTCAAACATTTCTTTAGCTGGTGCCCAGCAATTTTACTGCACTGCTTACACTGGGGGTGTCTGTTGGTCCCAGGACTGAGAAATGTATTTTGTAATCATGTTAAAAACAAAAGGCTCATGAAGACATTAAATCAGAGTTCTGATGCTGAAAGAAAACAGCCTCAGCGATGTACAGATATTTGCTGACAGTAGGCTAGGGGCAAAAAAGACATTTTTGGGTCTGCAAACCACCATGAAATGAATGACTTAAAGCAGCTGCAGGGTGTAACAGTGCTGTACAAAGGTTGATGGGGAGACTGAGGAACTTTATTTTTTAGAAAAAAACCCACAACTGGACATTCTGTAGCTTAAAGTGTGCTGTTAAAGGATGTAACACCTACTCTGAGACTGCCTTTGCTCCCCAGTCAAAGACATTCCCCGCCAGAAGTCCTTTCACCAGAGCAAACTGCCTCTCCTCCCAGCCGAGGGAATCCAGGGACTCAATCACACTCTGGAAACACTTTAAGGCTATTCCATTTTCTTTCTGCTTTACCTGTGAGACAGACAGGAAACACTGGATTTACAGACCAACATTTCTTACCCAGACTTGGCTGTCTAAGGCCACGTTCAAACACCTCCTCTGTGTTCATGGCCTCTCATGGACTAACCAATAACTGTTGTGAGTATGCTTAGGACCAAGAAGAAACTTTCCTGGATTCTCACAAAGTGTCATGAGTGCCAGAATATGATCTATAGCCCAAGAATTACTTTTCTGAGCAAGTTAGAGGTGCAATAGATCTTGAGCAGATTGGGAAATGGATCTTGAGCAAGGTGGGGTGGGGAATGGGTGAGTGGACACACAAAAACCTTGTAGCACTAACACCATACATAAACCTCATGAAATCACTAACAGCAGTCCCACAGAATCAGAAGGGTGGTGGTTTTGTTTGGTTTTTGGGTTCTTTTTGCATCATCCCAAATTCTCAGCAGCTCTCAGGTTTTTTTTTCTTCTCTGTCTCCAGTGAGATCAGTGTTACAGGGTGAGTTCTCTCAGAAAATTTAGTATGATTCTGGGTATCAAAATTTTGTCTTGGCAGTAAACTTGGCTGTATTACAGGAAACAAACATAAGCAAAAGCCACCTCACATGTGTTTCAGCCCTTTCTCACAGCAAAGGTACCACATGACAGTGCAGAGACAGGGAGAACTCTCTCTGTTTTTTGCAGAAATATGTCGACAGTCAGGAAAAAAGTGTCAGATCAGCCACTAGCACTGTTTTTATTTATGTGTCACACAAATAAGTGCTGAGGAACGGACATACAGAAAGTTGTTTTAGAGAAATACTGACTCGGATGTCCTCTCGCCAGTCATATCATGTCACAGAACAAAACACAGAGAGAAAATAGCTGCACAGTGGCAACAAATATTTTTAAGAGCAGGAGGTTGTGCATTGTGTCCACTCCAATCCAGTGCTGAGCACCTCAAAAGTGACAAAAGCAGCCTCAGAGGAATGAATTAGAGCAGTGTCTGGTGACAGCCACCACACACTGCTCAGGAGCAGGGCTGGCACCAAGACTGGCTTCTCAGGGCTGTCAAGCAACTGAAGCTGGTGATATTTTTGGTTATCATTATCCTCACCAGGAGCCTGTTCAGTTGAAGGGGTTTATGTCCCATTCCCCAGTGCTGTTTCTCCTCCCCTGCTCATAACCAGTGCCGGAACTGAATCCTAATCCCTCCCCTCTGAGCCATCCATCACTTGTACAGTTCCAGAGTATTGGAAAAGTGTCTTGAACTCACCTTGGAATAGGGATCTGGAAAATTGAACTCATTCAAACAGTGTTCCCTTGTATCCAAGAGACTTCTGACTGTTAAGGTACCATATGCACTTTAAAAAGTGAGAAGGGGAAAAAAACGAATCAATTACTTCAAACAGAAAAAGTAATTTTTCCCTGTTTCCTCTGTAAGTCACAGCCCCTCACATGAGCACTGAAGCTGAAAGTCACAGGTGCTAAATCCTGGCTCTACAATAAGATTATTGAATCTACAGTAAGATTATTTATTGTATATTCTTATTTTAGATTCAATAATCTTAAACCTACAATAAGATTATTTAAATACAAGGAGGGGAAAATGTTCAGAATTCACTTGCTGCTATTTTTAATAACCATGTACAAATTTTTAATAACATATTTTCTACCAAGATAGAATTTCTCTGCTCAACTCCAACACATGAAATCCAAAATCTCTGTGCAGAGGATCTGATGTTTGGCAGAGAAACTTGCCCGAGCCTTCAGCCTACTTGGCTTTGCTTGCTCTGCTTCACAATCTGGTTAGCTTTTGGTGGGCTCAACAGAAGAAGCAAATGATGCAAAACGGAAAATAAAATCACTTACAAAGGCTGCTGCCTGAGTGTCTGGAGCTTATTCCAGTATTTCTGCCGGAATTTCTCAGCTCTCTCCTGTGCATCTAGAGAGTCTGGCTGACTGGCTGCAGCTCGCTTTGCCACCTGTCAGAGAAATGAGGCAACACTGGAGTTACCAAATTATCTCTTCCTCCTTGTAACTGATGTGAAGTTCAGTGTGAGCAACAACCTCTCCATCTGCCTCCCTGTTCTGTGCCTGCAGCCTGGCTGCTCCCTCCCACACAGCACCTCCCAGCCTCCCTTCATTCCAAACAGTAAACAACAATTTTAATGTCTCTTTTCATTTCAAAAGATTTAAAGTTTGTTTTCTAGATTGTACTGTCATAAATTAAGCACAAATTCTAACTACTTAGAGGTGAGGAAAAAAATAGCAATGCACATACACTAAAGGAGAAACAGGCAGAAATGTAATGGTGCACATCGACCCCTTGTGTTCTCTTTTTGTTTACTCCAGTGAACTGCCTGAATCAGCTTCAGTGCAGAAAATAGTAACTTATGTCCGGCTCAATTGTGCTCCTCCCATGGAAAAGTGTCTGTGAGGCAGCAAGACTGCTCCCAGAGGAGGAGCAACCCAAGGATCTCTGGCCTTTGGTTGTGTAACTGTCCTGCTTGCAGCTCTGTACAAAAAGGTCCAAGTGCCATTGAAAAGGGAAAATGCTTTGAAAACACCTTTCAGAAGCCGAAAAAAAAAAAGCACAGAAGAGCATTTCTGCCTTTGACACGGGAGGAATATTTTACAAGACAAACATGCTGCTTCTCAGAAGATTTTTTTTCTAAATACCTGCGTCACTCACACAGGATTGTTTTGTGACACTTACCCCATCCAGTGCCTCCTCAAAGCAGGTGAGCCAGTACTTTCTGGCCATGGCATCATCTGTGAGGTCAACAGTGTCTGGGATGTAGGTGGAGGGGTCTTTCAGCAGTGGCAGGTTAACAAGTGGTCTCTCCAATCTGTCCATTTCCAGCATGTCAAACTAGGGGAGAAAGGAAAGAGATGGATTAGAACTCACTCAGAAATTAATTCATGATGAATTGAATTAGCACAAGGGCTGCAGAAGTCCAGCCAGTTAAGACTGACAGATTTGCAGACAATTATAGGTCATCAAAAATAATTCAGTTCCCTCTGTGGATTATTTTATCCATGCCCACCCTATAGAGAGAAATTATCCAGTGTGAAAGAGATGACTGAGCTTGTGCTCTTCTGTCCAATCTTGTATTTGTCTTCTCATAGGAAGCAAATTTATGCTGTTTAAAGATGGTGGAACATGAAGTTCCAAATTCTGAGGTATTTCAGCTGCAGCAAAATCCAGCTGCTCCAGAGAAAGGGTAAGAAACAAACACTCCCCCCACTTTGGTGAAGGAGAGTAAGATAAAAGTCTCAGCCAGTCTGATTTATGAAACATTCCATTCAACACCACACAGGACATAAGACAACACCACACCAGACTGGTCACTTTTCTGGGAAGCAGAAGTCCCAGGGGCAAGAAGCAACCAGCTGGAGAATAATCACCTATGTCCAGGTCAGCACTGCTAAGAGAACACACACAGGTCTAGAAAAGACAGCACATACTGTACCACTCCGTGTTCTCTGCATGGGGTAAACATCCGGGGATGTGCTCATAAGCCCAGAACTCCCAGCATAATTCTCTCCCCAGCTGTACTGGTTTGGATCTAGAAAAGAGAAAGACACAGACACACATAATCTGAAAATAAAACTGAGAATACTCCTGTGAGTGAGTCTAGAGCCAGCATCCCTCTGAGCAGTTGCTTCACTACACAAGCCAGTTCCCCTTGTCTTTAAAAGCAAGCAGAATTTTTCCCTCTAACCCCCAAAAGATATGTTTCAACCACTCAGTGAATTACCTGCTCCAAAGAGCTTCAACCTGAATGAGACAAGAGAATTTCAATTCTAAAATCATTATTTTAACCCCATTTCCTTGTCATTAATCAGCATGCCTCCAAAGCACTATCACTGAGCATTTCTTATTTCTAAATCTAGATCCATTATTAACAAAATAGTGTTACCGAACTCTCAAAGCACAATGTAAGCTTCAGAGAAACACTAAAGTTATTTCTAGATTTGCTTTATTTGAGAAAAGTTTAATGAGCTCAGATGTACAGTACATGCTGCAGAAGCAATATCTTTAATTCTTCAGTAGCTGGTTCCTTGCCCATCTCTATCAAATGGGCAGGAAAAGAATTCACATCCATTTTTTGGAAGTGTATTTGATACTTACTGAGCTAAGTACCATTAGCAGCCTGTGGCTGTGCCACTGTAACCAATGTACTGCCTGGCTTCTCAGTACATCAGTGGGGAAAAGGAAAACTAAACAGGCAGAATTCCACTAAAGCACCCTGGATCCAAGGTATCTGGACAGAAGGGTCTCCTCGGTGAAGCTTTTCACTCTCAAACACAGTTTGGAGATGCTGGTCTTCCACAGTACATGAAAGGAATTCAGAAGTAGCCTCTTAAAGAGGGAGAAGCTCTCCAAACCCACATTTCCCCAGCTGGATTGAGAGCTGTGACTGCTCTTCGCAGAAGTGCAGAGAAGAGTACAGTCTTACTGCCTTCTCAAACGTGAGCAGGAAATCCAGTGAGAAATTAAGATGTCCCTACCAGAATGTATAAAACCAAAGCCCAGCATCTGTGTTTACAAGTGCCAAATGGATTTATTTAGGCAACAGCTTACATGCAGCCTCTTAAGAGAAACTTGGACAGTACACTGACATTTCAGAACACAGCATATACAGAACAGAGCAGTGCTGTACTTACTGTCTTGTTCAGCTCCTTTTAAAAATGCCCCAATGGCTCCCAGGTAGCCTTCATGTCTCAGGAACAATGCCTGAACCTCTCCCTGCCACAATATGAAACATTGCAATTGGATGGTCCCTGAGGGCTAACAGGCACTTCTTTGTCACTAGTTTCACACTTTAATTTAATAGAAACAACTAGAAGATGGTAATAGTTATTTGTGCTACATTCTCACACATTCATCAAGTTTCATGGTGCCTCTGGAACAGCTCAGGAAGGAACTGCTCACACACATCATTCCCCAGTTATCACACAGCTGGAAAACACCCATGCACCAGTGGTGCGTGCTCTATGGCCTTCCCTGGAAAACACCACTGCATCATTCCATGAATATTCAACTCCTCTTGCTTCAACAGGCTGGAAATGGCAAGGTCATGTGATTGCCAAGGTGAGCATATGCCACTGCAGGCAACACGTTTGGGATACTGCTCACTATCTTTATTTCATTGCACTGCTCTTCAATGCCACACAGACACTGTGCATCACCCACAGGCAAGCATTCCCCCCATTCAAATAATTCAATTATTAATGCAGATTCCAGGAATGCTGGAGAGAAGAACCCTCCATCCTCACAGCAGGGCCCCTCAGCTTTCCTAGGCCAGGTGAAACATGGCCTTTTCCAAGGAATTCTGCAGTGACTGTGGGAACAGCTCTCCATGAGGGAAGCTACAGGGAAGCAGCAGCTCCAGCTCACAGGGAGATTTGGATTTGAATCCCTAGCAAAGTGTCTCGTAGAACAACCAAAAGCTACAGTTTTGCAATAACTTTCTTGGAACTCAGCAAGTTTTACAGAAAGGGACAATAACGGTGAAATGAAGAGGGGAAAATGCAACACACAGGAGTCTCCTGCATGAAGCATTGAGATAAGAAAAAAATGGTGTCATCCATCTATAAAATTCCCAAAGTGCAGGACTAATCTACCTGTAACAACCATTAACAAGCTTGTGGATTGGACCTTTTTCCTAGTCAAAAATCTTCAGTATTTTCCAAAGCTTCAGAGTCTGCAAAGAACTTCAGTTTGGTTGATTTGGGGCTTGATTTTCTCTTTAATAATAAAACCCCACTGATGCCAACTGTCTCAGAAGAACAACCCCACACTGCATGGCCTGGGAGTGGAAAGATGCAAATCAGCAAGAGGAATTGAATAATGATGGTGACTATCTAAGAACACAGTGAAATCTCATTACTTGGAGCTACAAGACAGACTGTCAATCAAAAAATAATAATAAAAAGAGATAGAGGGAGGTAGGGAGAGATAAAAAGGGCCAGACAACTCCCAGGCATTTCACATTGATTTCACCCCTCCCACAACACGTCCCTGCCTTACCTACCTAAGGAGCAGCCTTCTAAGCTTACTTCATGTGCAAATTCATTTATTAAGGTATCTCAACAGCCTAGAAAAATACCTAAAATGTGACTTTGCTGTAGGGAATCCTGTGTTTTCCTTACCTTAGAGAAGAAGTTGATGCTGTAGGTTATTGTGCGCATGGTGACGGGGTGTCCTCGGATAAAGAACCCTCCAAAATAGATTTTATCCAGGTTGTGCAGTTTGGCATAGAGGCAGGCCAGCTGACCAATGTCATTGCTGATCATGTGGAGCAAGCTTTTGGCCATATCTTCTTTGGAAAACTCTGGAAGTGAAGGAAGAATAAAGCAAATTACACACAAACTGAAGAAGCTCCAGTGGACTATGCTTTTCTAACTGAATCTGCAGCTGAGGAAAGGAAAATCCAGGGTTGGAGCAGATTTCCTTATGTGTGGAAAAGAAAAGCGTTACCCTCTAGAAAACCCTCATGTAAAATGTACTTCTAACAAGGAGAAGTGTGATTTGATTGAAGATATCAGGAAAAAAAACAAAATCAAAAAAACCCTCACTAGCCCTATGTGAAACATTTCTTGAAAAAAAAACAACTTCCTGGATGGCAGGAATCCATTTCTTCTCTCTAGGAACCATCAATGAGGGCTCATCCACCCCTCTTGGCCTGAGATGCACTGCAAGTATTTCATTAAGATATTGCAAATAAACTGCAAATTGTAGTAAATCACTGCCAAAGGGCCTTTCTGGAGCCCAGAAAGCCATATCTATTTCCCACAGGAATGAATTAACCCCAGGCTAACCAGACAGCTGTTTTTTAATTTTCTCTTGGCTTAAGCAATTCCAAACTGAAAATTTAAATGTCTGCTTATAAAGCAGTACTGGATAATATTTCTAATCAATATCGTACAGGCAAAACACAAGATCGTGAAAGAAGCTGATGATTATTTTCAGTTATAAAGTTGATTCCCAAGAGCCAGAGGAGATGTTTGGATAGATCTTTTTTATCCCAGTACCTTTATCTGCTGTGGTGGACTTCCCAAAGCTGCTGGCAATGAGATTCCCACTGAGCCCCAGGGACTGGTAGGCACCTCCATACACATCCTTCACCAGCATGTCAACGTTGGTGTGCTGGCCCTTTGAGGCCAGTTGCAGCAACTCATCAAATTTCTGAGGGTGAGAAGCACAGTTACCACAGCTGACTTGAGCCAGAGCTCTGCAGCACCTTTACTGACCAAAACCAGTCATTGAATTAACCCTGCCAGCCAAAGACAGGCTGTTTCTAATTACAAGGATGTATTCAGAATCCCTATCTGATCAAACAGACAGATCTTAAGTGAAGCTCCTTTAAAGATGAACACCACAGTCAACCTCTTTCTTATCTGCAGATAATTTGTTGAATTTCTCTTGAAAACTAGGGTGGGTCAGCACATATGAAACAGTCAGAAGCCTCATGGCATCTCTTATCTTGGAAGTCAGAAACACAGGAACTAAGAGGAAACAGAATTTTGTCTTCCTGTAGCACAATAAAAGAGAAGTTTGAGAAAAAAGTCTCAGTGTGCCTTAACTGGTGCAGGATGTGTCCCTGTCCCTGAAATGAAACTTGCAGGCAAGCTCCATTATCCCAGTACTTAATTTATAACCCTGCTAACTTGAATTTCTTCTACAAAACCAAGAGAGAATTTAAGATTTCTTCTTTAGGAGCATCAAACAAAAAGCACTGTACCCTCCCTTTGACATTTTATCTAGTGCATATGTAGCTGTAGCTTTTCCTACACTCCTGACATTTAGGGCGCTCATTTAACCCACATGGCCCTTTGGGAATCCAATCCAGGGATGTCAGAGCTGGGCTGAACTGAGCAGGACTAAGTCAGGCCTTGTTCATCAGCCCAGGACTTAAACTCATGTTGGCAACCAAGGAACCAACCATGAGGCAAAATTTCTCCTCTCAGCTTCCAGACTTCTTGCAGCAATTGTGTGCTCCCTGCTTTCTTCTGCAGACAGTATTGTAGGAGCTGGCCTGGCATTTTAAGTTGAAAAGACAAAAAATTACCAGGCCACTTAGAGGAGGCTCTTTTCTGTCACTTGTCCCTGAGCCCTAAAGCAGGATTGCTTTTGGTCACAATAAGCATCTTCCAATTCTTGTCCCTATATTCCACCAGTATCTTTTTCCATGTAAAGCTTCTTTTTTTGACACTTCAGAAGTGTCAAAAATATGAACACAAGTCCAGGACTCAGCCATATTACCTAATATCCCACCATTTCAGTCTTTCTCTCAGGATTTAATTTAATCCCAGCCCCCTTGAAAGAGACACTTTGATACCTTTGTTTTGGTGAGCAGAGCTCCAAGACCCCAGAAGGTTCCACCTCCAATTGAGCTGCCCCCAATCCATTCAAATTTGTCTTCTGTTTCTACCTGTGAATTAAACAAGGCAGATTTATTTAGAAAGTCGTTTTATGATGTTTAATACAGATTTAACTGTGTGTGCAGGGTTTCGGAACAGTGGATTCAGTGGAGATGGAATCCTTCCATTGTGGAAGTGGCAGGTGAGAAGGGCACACTGCACATACACCACAAGCAGTTTTGGAAATCTTTGTATTTAACTCTTGGCAAACAATGCTAAATATAGATGTTAAACTTCAACAGAGTTGAAGGTCTCTTCAACAGTGTGACAACACAAACATCAAAAATCACTTTGATCTGACAACCTTTGTCTTCATCAGGTGGTGTAACCACTTCTCTAACTATTAAATTAAATGTAATTAAAAAAATAGCAAATATAAAAACATTCATATCTCTGCAATTAATAAACTTTTCAAAAGCACAAATTTTTTTCAAACCTTGCATTATCTAAGAAGAAACAAGGACAAATCTGAACCAGTAAGAGGTTTCAGATCACCTTTATCAAATTTCCAACAAAGCATTTTGGCCACCTCTCACCTTCACTATGGAGACTCCTGAGCCAATGTTCACCAGCAAATAAGGGAAAATGTTGGGGTGGTTTGTCTGGAACCGGAATTCCGTGTCAGAATCCTTCTGGTAAGCAAACACCTCGTGGGGGATGTTCCTCAGCACGAAGTTGCACCCCTTAATTAGGCAGGTCATTACATCTTCCTTATCAACTCTGAGGGGGAGGAAAAAGCCTTAAATGTCTCAGCCCTCCTGATAAGGCAGCTTGCTTCTGGAGCAGCAGTTTGCAGACCGGAATTTTCACACCACGTGGCACAAGCCCAGATCCCTGGAAACATGAAACTTCCATCTGCACTTGGTCTGGTGCTTCCCGCCCAGGCTGGAGTTCTGTTACACAGTGACTTCAATCATGTTGTCATTACAAATAATCCTGTTTGCTTGTTTACACTGCTCCTTCCTGCCCTGCTCTTTTCATGGTCTGTGCACCCCTGCCATAAAGTAGGTCAGGAAGCTTAGCTGGAAATTAATCTCAGAAAACAATTTCTTAACATGGAATAATTGTCTGTTGCTCTTCCCCTGCCTCCTAATAAAGCACAAAAGGCCCCCACTGCATTCAGCACATGTTTATGACCGATTCAAGGGACTGGGAGGAGCCTACAACTGGGATTAGCAAAAACAGAAGACACTTCTCACAAGAGTAGCAGATTCATAACAGGATGTATCCCCAGTGCAGAGTCTGGGAATGTGATGCAAAAGAGAAGATGACTGATAAGCCAGCTAACGCATGCTGACTTCTGTGAACTTCTGGGTCTCTATACTGTTACTGATTTATGTAAATTCTTATAGGAAATATCCTGAGGCTTAATGGAAACACATGAACAAGGCACAAACTCATCTCAACCACTACAGAATGATTTGTGTGTTCCACAATGGAGAAACCGGGGATCTGGTTTGGATTTGGGGACCAACTGAGTATGTGAGGACCAAATAAAAACCAAAACCAGGTGCACTACATGGGATAAGAGGGGAAACTGCCTCCTTATCTTGATCTATTGATAATTAGTAACAGCCTATAAGGTGTTAAAGGGGGCCAGTGTGAAATAAACAGATAACGAGTCCATCTTATCAGAAGAAATAAGTAATTTGCGAAGACAGTGTAAAAGATGAGCACAGGCCCTCAGGATTGAGGAATGCACTACACAAATCAGGCATTCCTACACAAATCAAGCAGGAGAGGTACCTTGAAACTCTCCCCAGTGATGTTTAATATTAGGATAAATTACTATTTTTCTACACTTACAGCATAGGCAGTGTGAATTTACAGGCACCACCATCTGTGGCTTTGATGGCTTTTGTCCCTGTATTGATAAGACGACCTTTGATGAAAACTAGGCAGGTTTCAGTGCAAGCTTTTTAGTATTTGGTGTTTGATAATGGTGTTTGAACAGTAAATTTATGAGTCTGTAAATTCATAGGGCTGCCCTATGTTTTGCAAGCCTGTGCATGAAGTTTAGGTAGGAGCTATACAATAAATGACTGTCACATTAATTACCTCTGAGCGTGCACAGGAAAATTGTAAAAACTTTTGGAGTAGATGTAAATTAATTCTTTACAGAAGATAAAGCAGTTCCACTTACTTCAATCCCAGTTTCTTCTCAATCAGGTCTTTGAATTTATAGGCACCACCACCTGTGGCTTTGATGACTTTTGTCTCTGTATTGACAAGATGGTCTTTAATGAAATCTAGACAGGTTTCAATATAAGTGTTTTCAAATTTAATGAAGTGAAGTCGCGCTGTAATCTCCTCCTGAACAGATATTTCATACAAAGGTTCATTGTCTATGTCCTTTAAAAGAGAAAAGGGTTTCTTAGAGAATATTCTTGCAGAAACAAGGTTAAATACTGAACTACTAAAGATCAATACTTATGCTTATTTTGCCCTTGAAACTGTGTTAATGCCATTAAACGTAACACCTCAAGCTATGTCAAAGAAGAATAGTTTCACAGGCTTTAATTCGCCTTAAGCTGAGATAATCGATTCTCCCATGCAGCTGACATGCAGCAAATCCCTCTGCATGAGGAAAGTTATGTCTGCACAGGAGCAGCGTTTTTTTACAAAAGTATCACACTTACTGTCTGGAAAATAAACATTTCAAACCGTACCTGACAATAGAAAGACTTAGCAAAAAATTTTATATAGAACAAGTTAATAGATGGGTTTGGATACAATTTCTGTTCTGCCCAGTCCAGAACCTCACTCCTGTGAGTCAATCCCATGCAGCTGATCCCTGATGGAATTCTCACCTTTCCAGAATGATCAAAGGATCTCACTCTTGCCACTTTGTGCTGTACAGTTGAGTAATAAGCCAACTTGGTTAATGAACCGCCTGTTCATAAAGAGATAACTGATATTAATAAAGTTATTATTAATGCCTCACCTCAAGAGCAAACAATAGAACTTATGTTTATGTCAACTCTTGGTTCTCCAGGTCTCCTCAGCTGAAGCCAGACAGAATTAATGAAGATGTATAAAGAACCGTTTCTGAGGAACTGCTTGGCCTCATTAACAGAGCACCATGGGAGGGAAAAGCTTTACAAACTCAGTTTGTGCCCAACTGATGTGGGATGAGGATGAGCAGTGGAAATTAGCCAGGCCAGTACGTGTACTGCTGCTATTTACCTTGTTTGGAAACTTAATGAACTCCCAAATTTGTACCAGAATTTTCTCAGCTGGTTTGCCACCACTGAGCAATGCCCCCCACGTGCACAGAGTGTTTCAGCAGCAACACCTAAATAATTTTCTTACCCTGCTTTTAGGGACAAGTCTGCAAACTCATGGCTGGTTAGAAAATTACCCTCTGTACTGAGTAATTATTTTGCAATATTGGTCTTGGCTTTGGGGTAAAGAATGCTCAGAATGATGTTTCTCAAGCACACAGCAGTTGGAGATATTACCAATGTGCAAGTCTGAGCAGAAGCAGCCTCATCACCCCCTTCAGGCCTCCAGTCTGCTCATGACAATAAAACTTTGAACTCTCCCCTTGAAATAGAATTCAACCCCTTGCCCTGTCTTTGTATCTGACCTGCAAAAGTGGATTGCTGGGGTTACACTGAATGTTTTCCACCACAGTGCTCCAGGTCTGAGGGTAACTGTATCCACCACTGAGTTAACATTAAAGTCCTGAAAGTAAATAAAAACCTGGCAATGTTAGATCCTAAATAATGGCTAGATTTAGTGGCACTGCACTCTGCTGCCTAAGAATAACCATGAAATGAAGCAGCAGAGGTGAAAGATAATCCCTACAGCGTGTGGCTTTGCCTTCATAACTGCTCTGTCTGCTCTTCCACAGTGCTCAAATATTTTTGTTAGGACAATATTAGCAACCTGTAGGAGAAAAACGGGCAGTTTACTCCAGGAAAATTTAAGTAAATGTAGAATGACCAGAGATAGACACTTATAGTAACAAAAGCAATAAAGCTTCCCTGACCTTGGATCTGATTTCAGTGTCCCGGCCAGTGCTTTAAAGCTTCTGGTAAACAAAACCCACAGTCTGTTCTGCTAAAAGGTGAGGGCTTGGTGGTTAGAGGTGAGGGATTGCACAGCTTTTTATGGAAAAATTTCCCACCTCCAAACTGAGGATTACAAAGCCCATGTTGGAATGTCATTTTCTTTACACTGACAATGACACAGGTGCTGCAGGAATTCATCATGAGATCCATAGTACACAGAGCCATGACACTTTGTGCATTATCCCCTTCCTCTCCCAGTTTTTAAGGACTTAAATCCATTCAGAACACCAAGACATGTAACTAGGTTTTATAACTAATCCCATGACTCTAATTCTGAGCTGACCCGCACAAAGGGCCGGTTCCTGCTGTTATTTTCACAGGCACGGAACCAGCAGTTCCTGAGGGGCTGAAGTAACTGGTGACACAACAAGATTTTCTATTATGGTGCAGGTTTTCTTCCCATTGTCCCTGAGTCTCCACCACACAGAGCAGTGTTCACCTGAGGAGTAATAGCTTGGTTTACTTCTCCCTAGCTTTTATCCTAAAAACTTTCACTGATCTCGGGATGGTAAAACGGAAGGAAAGCACGTAAAATGGCACTTTTGGCTTAGTGCGTGTCCACAGAACAACTGCTAATCCATGCACCGGAGAAACTGAGAACAGGCTCAGCTTGTCCCTGCACAATTCCCGGCTGTGGCACGCAGGTGTCACCCTGACGTGTGTCACCCTGTACCTCAGTTTAGGATGTGGGAAATCGGGAATATCACGTACTGGGGCGTATGCATAGGGCAGCGGGTGTTTTTGGGAGTGACTGAGGCAGCAGTGACAGACCCCAACCCACGCCAAGTCCCGCAGCCGCCCTGCCTGGGCAGTGCTACAGACGCCGGCCCCGGCCCTTTTTGCTTCTTCCAGGCCGGTTTCGTAAGTCGGAGGAGCGCCCGCAGCATCCGCGGCCTGGGGCGGCCGAGGGGCTCCGCACTCGGGCCTGGTNCCCCCCGCCCGGTTACCGATGTCTATGGCGAAGCGCTTGGCGTTCTCCAGGTTGCGGAAGATCTCGTCGGGCGGGAGGGTGATGCTCTTGTCCAGACTGCCGTGACCGCTGCCGCGCCCGCCCCGCTCCGCCATTTTGAACACAACCCGCTCCCTCCCTCACCCCCGCCTCATCGGCATACAAATATATGCGCATAAATCTGCATGGGAACGGAGAGGGGGCGCGGGGATTGGGCGGGAAGCACGCGCCGGCCCCACCTACCTCCTGGGGCGGGGCCTGAGGGACTCCGCGATGGGGGGGGCGGAGAGACCGCGGGGGGAGCGGGAGGGGTCGGTGAGAGCCCGGAGCAGGGGGATTGGAGAGGGGGAATGGGGAGAGAAAGCCCCAGGAACGGCAGAAAGATCCCCGGGAAAACGGGGGTGGGGAAGGAGAAAGGAGTAGAGAGACCCTCGGGGGAAATTGAAAGGGGGGTACCCCAGGGAGGGTGAGATGAGACCTCCGGGGACAGCATGGGGGGATGGGGAGAGAGCCCGGAGCAGAGATCTCGGGGGGAGCGAGGAGGTGGATAAGGACAGACCCCTAGTGGAGTCGATGAAACGCTGTGGGAGGCACTTGGAGGGGATGGTGAGGGAGGCCAGAGAGCCTTCCGGTGAAACATGGAGAGGAACGGGAGGAGAGGCCGCCGGAGGTAGCGGGGGGGATCCCCGGTAGCTCACGGGGGGCCGGGGTCGAGGACACCAATACACCCACACAGCCACGGAGCAGCCCCCCCGCGTGTTCACTGTAGCCAAACCCCTGAATTTTAACCCCCTGAGTGTTTCCAAGTGTTTTGTGATCCGGACACATCCCCAGGAATGTGAATTGTGCCGTGAGGTGCCTTGGAAAGCTTTATTTCTTAATCAAAAATACTTCCTGTGTTTGGTGTCCCTACCTGTGACAAGGGGTTGGAAACATAAGATATTTATGATCTCTCCCAACCAAACCATTCCATGATTTTTTTCACCCTTGCAGTGACCTTTCTTGGCTCTGAATTCCCAGAGAATTGGCTGCTTGGGCATGCTGTTATTTTTGTCTCACATTGAGATCGCTAGGGCTTGATATTCCCAAGCTATGGAAAACAGCATTGCAGGGGTCCCGATGCACACAGAACTGATGGGGAAATTCAGTGTAAAATCTGAATATCTCTGCTTTCACTGAAATCTGTCTCATGTCTGTTGACCACAGGGAAGGTAGCTGTAAAAACTACTTCAAAAAAATAATAACTTTGGATTGATTGACCAGATTTTTATTTATTTTTGATGGTTAAAAGTTTCTGCAACTTCTGACATTCAAGATAACTCAGGCACAGGTCGTACATTGGTGCAGCTTGCACAGAACGCATCGTAACATCCTCCAAGGACAATAACAAATTCCCATTTTCCCTTGGCAAAAGGGTACCAAAAAGTAAATATAATTTAAAACACCCGCCTTTCATGAAAGACTTTGATAAATATTGCTTTTATAATCGACAGCACAGCCGTAACTTTCAGTCCTATAAGGACATAAAAACTAGCTCCAGCCTTTACAAAAGGCACACATGCATCCTGAACCTCACAACAGCCTTGGCTTGTGAGCAAGACATCCCGAGGAATTTCCTCTACATAGTTTGGGATATGGTTTAACCATTCTCAGAGGGTGCTCAGTACAGACTATAAATATTATAGAACCCCTCATATAGAACCACGGGAAGGCCAGATTCCCAAATGTGTCCAGTGAGACCCGGGGACATTCCAGGTGTGGATGCCCTGGGACCCCGAGGAGTCAGAGGAAAAGGCTCCTACCGCAGGGACACTTCTGGGAATTCTAAGCGCCCCAGGGGTTACAGCTTTCCCAACAGAGGTACATGGACAACCTCGCAGAGGTTAAGAACAGCCGTCGTTCCGCTCTGAACGACCCCTCCAGCCCTCCCAGCAGGAGGATACAGCTCACAATCCCTCAGAATAACTTCCTCTCCACGCGGTGGGATCGTTGCAGTCTTCTGGGAGAAGGGGAGCTGACATCCAAGCAAGAGCAATGACCTGCAAAGGGGAAACATTTTTCCCTAACATGAGAGGAATGGGGGCGACTTGTACAACAAGTCATGGTCTCCTCTGGAATACGGGAAACGTCCAAAAATCACGGAATTGTGAACGGCCAATGTCTCCGAGGGCTGTGGAATCGCGTCGGTGCTGCAGGTTTTGCAGGAGGCTGGTGGCTGGAGGTGGGTGCGGAGGAAGAAACAGAGTCCCCAGGTGCCACCTGTGACTTCCGGGAGGGGCAGCTCAGGTTCCCCTCGTTCCGGCGCCCATGGAACGGAGGGACGGGAATTACAGAGCCGCTCTGGGACACTACCCGTCAGGATCATCCTGCTGCGGGCTCTGGGCAGGAACTGCAAAGGCTGAAAGGGCAGGAGAGGAGAAAAGTGTTACACGGGGAGGCGCCAGCTAAAGTTTTTCCCAAAGGAAAAGGCAGTGAGAGGGATGCGGGATGTGATGGGGAGCACCCACCTCGCCCGTATCCTAGGTCGCTCACAGCCATTCCCCCCAGGATTTCGCCTTTCCCCAGCTAAGAGTTGGGCTGGTGCCTCTGGAATGCCTTCTCCAGGAGCAGTTCCAGCTGCTGTAAATCCAATCCAGAGCTGTAACACAGAAGGGGAAGAAGGGAAGGTGAGCAGCGAGGTTTCCCCTCCCCAGCTCTCAACATCCCAAAGGGTGCGGCCCTTGCCGGCTCTCCGGCAGATACTCACTCTGTGCTTCCCTCCGGGCGATGGGATGTCCATGGAGAGAGCACCGTTATGCCAAGGGCTGATCTCAGCTCAGAGTGGAGAAGAGAGCCAGGATCTGCCCTATTTATAGGCAGGAGCCTCATTACAAAAGTCTGGGTCCGGAGCGACTCGGAGTTTCCCACAGTCGCCAGCCAATCCATGAGTGCCAAGAACAATGGGAAAGCATCCATTACAGCATGGCAAATTGACTGTGAATTGCCCCGGGATAATACACCGCTCCCAAAGGAGCAGGTGGGCTGGAGAGTGTGGAACACAATAGAGTTTGGCATCGCGGCGCTGGACAGGGAACGTGGGAAAGCGTTCGCCGTCATTATCATCCAGCTTCTGCCTGATGTTGGGAACGTCAGCATCTCAATGTGCTGCCTTTTCCCAGGCTGTGATGAAATTAAGCACAGAAGACTGATCCCAGGAAGAGATAATACTCTGCGCCCCGAAGAGAGGTTGAAAAGGGAAAGATTTTTCAGAATTAGAGGGACTAAACCCTTTAATGGACATTAAACCGTGCTTAGATGAATACAGTAGCAGACAATTTTCAGGCAACGAGAGACTAAAATCGAGGGAAGAGCCCTTCAAACAGTTAGCTTGAAATATTTTCCTCTCTATTGTTTAAAGCCCCTCTGTAAATTATACCCAGAGCTCTTCCTTGCTGTTGTTCAGATAATCTGGGCTTTCCTATGGCAGCTTGTGACATGTAATGATTGTGATGTTTTTCCCAAACATGTCCTGTTTAATTTCATGCCACTTTGTAAATGCCTCACTGTTCCTGATTCTCCACCTAAACGTATTTCCCACTTACAGACAACTGAGAGGGAGTGAAAAGTCAATTCTTGCCAATTATATTGTTATATTATCCCCTTTGCAAGTTGTACCACAGATGTGAGGCCCTCCTGTGACTTTGCTCAGTCTTGGGATTTCTCCCAAGAAAACATTACCTGTGCCACAGGTAATGAAGGGGAAAAGACTAGACAAGATCCTGGACTGGAGCTGCCTTGTAGAAATATTTTTTTTGCCAGGCTGTTTTAAGCTGCCAGCTCAGGTCTGCTGCTGCCTCCCAGCACAACCCAGTAAAAACCCAGTCATGTTTAGGATCTGTATTCCCTTCCCAGCCCAAAGACACTTCGGTTTAGATGGATTACTTAGGGTACAACAATTTTAATTCTTGATGGTTGTCAAGAACTATAAGTGAACATGGACCATGAGTCCCATTCAAAATCAGTTCGCTGAATTATTTTGTCAGTTTGTAATCTGCACTATTCCTTGGAGCTGGGGCTATCCCTGGCGGCATGTGCTTGTGCTGTTACTGCAGAGGGAAGCGAAGCACGGGATTTTCTGGATCACTGCCGGGATCACGTGAGATGAAGGGAAAGCAGGTCCGGCCACTCACCGTGTGGGAGCGAGGATGCAGGCGGCAGCCGCGGGCACGGGGCGAGGGGAGGGAAGCTCTGACCCAATTTTCAGCCCTGGAAAAATGAAATGCGCGGTTTTAAAGAATGCCACGCTGTCCGCAGCACAATGCCCTGGCCTCCAAAGGGCTAAACCAGCACCCACTGATTAAAATCTGATCCCTTCCTTGAAGGGCCGAGCAGATAGTGCCGCAGGCGTGGGCACTCCCCAGGACCCTCCCAGGCACACTTCTTTTGTCGGCAGTTTAACACCGTGAATGGGAAATCCTGGGAGCTGCGGGCTCGCATCATCTGATGGGAATGATGAACCAAGCACCCTGTCCCGTTGCCAGAGCACGCAACAGCCCTCTGCTCCCAAACCCCCGGCTCCCTGTCCCTTTGAAAGGGATCACAAATCTTCCATTCCCCCGTGCCTGCCTCATCTGGCCTCTTGTGCTGGTGTAGGGTGAGCGAAGCAAATATTCCTCCTGGTTAATTTGGTTATTAATGCCTGAAAACTTAATGGCAACAGCACTTCCCAATTGATGGTTGTGAATAATAAATTGTCTAGACTTGGACTGTCCCTACAGTATATTCCTTATGGAGTGCAGAGTGCATTTCTGCAAGGATTTCAGTAAGGAAAAATCCTCCTCTGCTGTAGAAAGTCCATTTAGTCTTCGTTAAAAGTCTGTAATTAGTTTGCTCAGTTTGGTCTTTTTAAAAATCCCACTGTTAGTGCAGCAGTCTGTCCTCTTGAAACGTGTTTGTGATCCTCATCCTTGTCCCTGTGCTTGCTCCATGCCCTTGGGATGAGTTTGTGCCTTGGACTGTTGCTGCAGAGCCAGGAATTTGCGCTGTCTGAGGCTCAGAGATACAATTTTCTCGGATTTGGGAACAAAGGAGACAAATTCCCAAACTTGCCAAACATGGAGTTGACTGAACAACGGGATACAATAATCCCCTTTTTTGAAGGAGGGGTGTGAGATCCGGAGATGCTGTGGGCAGAGGCTGCTCCTCTGTAAATCCCATTAAATCCTGAGTTACATCATGAAGATGCTGTTGCCAAAATCACAACCT